CCTCAGAGCCCCTGATACACACTGACACAGATCAGAATAGGGACTGTTACCCCTACATCGGGTCACTTGGCAGATATGGATGGACACCTGTCCTCAGAGCCCCTGATACACACTGACACAGAGCAGAATAGAGACTGTTCCCCCTACATAGGGTCACTTGGCAGATATGGATTGACACCTGTCCTCAGAGCCCCTGATACACACTGACACAGAGCAGAATAGAGACTGTTCCTCCTACATAGAGTCACTTGGCAGATATGGATTGACACCTGTCCTCAGAGCCCCTGATACAGACTGACAGAGAGCAGAATAGAGACTGTTCCCCCTACATAGGGTCACTTGGCAGATATGGATTGACACCTGTCTTCAGAGATCATGATACACACTGACACAGAGCAGAATAGAGACTGTTCCCCTACATAGGGTCACTTGACAGATATGGATTGACACCTGTCCTCAGAGCCCCTGATACACACTTACGCAGAGCAGAATAGAGACTGTTCTCCTACATAGGGTCACTTGGCAGATATGGATTGACACCTGTCTTCAGAGATCATGATACACACTGACACAGAGCAGAATAGGGACTGTTCCTCCTACATAGTCACCTGGCAGATATGGATTGACACCTTTCCTCAGAGCCCCTGATACACACTGACACAGAGCAGAATAGAGACTGTTCCTCCTACATAGGGTCACCTGGCAGATATGGATTGACACCTGTCCTCAGAGCCCATGATACACACTGACACAGAGCAGAATAGAGACTGTTCCTCCTACATAGGGTCACTTGGCAGATATGGATTGACACCTGTCCTCAGAGCCCCTGATACACACTGACACAGAGCAGAATAGAGACTGTTCCTCCTACATAGGGTCACTTGGCAGATATGGATTGACACCGTCCTCAGAGCCCCTGATACACTTTGACAAAGAGCAGAATAGAGACTGTTCCTCCTACATAGGGTCACTTGGCAGATATGGATTGACACTGTCCACAAGGACAAGCTGCAGGCTTCCTGGCAGGGCCCATACAAGGTGGTAGAGCAGGTTTGTGATACCACCTTTGTGATCGGTGCGGTCACAGGCACGGGAGGGATGCTCCATATGAACAACCTCAGACGCCTATCCTATGCCCCGGATAGACGAGCTCCTAGACAAAATGGCCAGAGGCCAGTACCTCACCACAATAGATCTGTGCAAGGGTTACTGGCAAATTCCATTAGCCGAGGACGCCATCCACAAGTCGGCATTTGTCACCTTGTTTGGCCTGTATCAGTTTAAGGTCATGCCATTCGGGATGAAGAATGCCCCGCTAACTTTCAGAGGATGGTAGATCGGCTACTGGATGGGTTTCAGGAGTATGCCTGCGCCTACTTGGATGATATAGCCATTTTTAGCTGCTCCTGGCCCGAACACCTGACCCACATAGGAGCCGTACTAGACCGGATTAGGGAGGCCGGACTGACCCTAAAGCCCAGTGAGTGCCATATAAGAACGCGTAAAAACCTCCCCAAGATAGTAGTATGGGCCCCAGAGTGTGAACAGGCCTTCCAACAGCTCAAGACGGCGCTCATTAAATCACCTGTACTTTCTGCTCCTGATCCAACTAAACGCTTTCTCGTCCATACAGACACTTCTATGTTTGGATTGGGAGCAGTACTGAGCCAAGTAGGAGCAGATGGCGGCGAGTAACCCGGGGCTTATCTAAGCCGAAAACTTTTGCCCAGGGAAGTAGATACACTGCCATTGAAAAAGAGTGCCTGGCGGTGGTGTGGGCCCTCAAAAAGCTGCAACCTTACTTGTATGGACAACCGTTTACCTTACTCACAGATCACAACAAATTTGGGGCACTGCGCATGCAATCTAATGTGCCACCAGATAGGAGTGGTGTGTTTAGTACTATTGTTATCAGTTTAATCACTGTTACGTCCCCTATCCGTTGATGTGGAGCAAGACGCAGCAGCAGAAGAGGACTCAGCCGAGGAGGTTATGGAAGAGGATGGAGCAGGAGGAGTAGAGGAGGTGGCAGCAGGACTGCCTGCAAGTCGTGGCGGTGTCACCAACTCCTCTGCAGAGCCATGCATTCCATGCTTGGCAGCCGTCAGCAGGTATGCCCAATGCGCAGTGTAGGTGATATACCTGCCCTGACCATGCTTTACAGACCAGGTATCAGTGGTCAGATGGACCCTTGCCCCAACACTGTGTGCCAGACATGCCATTATTTCCTTTTGCACAATCAAGTACAGGTTGGGGATTGCCTTTTGTGAAAAGAAATTTCGTCCGGGTACCAGTGAGTGAGTGGTGGCACTGGGCACAGTATCCACTGTGAGCCTGACACACCCGCTGGCAGACAACTAACTACTATTCAATCTATAACAGTGAAAAAAGTTTTTTGTTTTTAAATGCAAGCTATTATGACACCAGATATGAGTGGCACTGTAAACTGGCAGAATACACGCTGTAGGGCTGACACACCCGCTTTGAGACAACTAACTGCTATTCAATCTATAACAGTGAAAAAAGTTTTTTGTTTTGAAATGCAAGCTATTGTGACACCAGTGAGTGAGTGGTGGCACTGGGCACAGTATCTACTGTGAGCCTGACACACCCGCTTTAAGGACACTGACTGCTATTCAATCTATAACAGTGAAAAAGTTTTTGGGTTTTAAATGCAAGCTATTGTGACACCAGTGAGTGAGTGGTGGCACTGGGCACAGTATCCACTGTGAGCCTGACACACCCGCTTTGAGACAACTAACTGCTATTCAATCTATAACAGTGAAAAAAGTTTTTGGGTTTTTAAATGCAAGCTATTGTGACACCAGAGATGAGTGGCACTGTGAACTGGCAGAGTACATGTTGTAGACCTGACACACCCGCTTGAAGACAACTAACTGCTATTCAATCTATAACAGTGAAAAAAGTTTTTTGTTTTTAAATGCAAGCTATTCTGACACCAGATATGAGTGGCACTGTGAACTGGCAGAGTACACGCTGTAGGGCTGACACACCCGCTGTGAGACAACTAACTGCTATTCAATCTATAACAGTGAAAA